GGTCTTTTTGAGACAGGGTCTCCCTGTAGCTCCAGCTGTCCTGGAACTCGCTATGTAGACCAGGTTGGCCTTGAACTCACAGAGATCCACCTGCCTCTGCCTCCCGAGTGCTGGGATTAAAGGCATGTGCCACCACGCCTGGCTTTTTTTAAGTAACAAAATGCTTTTCATAGTATCATTTATTTCTAAGGATGAGATTATGAAATGCAGTCATATTACCTGATAATGTATATTCAGTACCCTTAATGTTATCAATCATCTCCCAACAGCGTTCATCCTTTACACGTGGAAGTCCATCAAAATTAGTTTTCCTGTATTCCATTATGAAATGGTCAATCTTACTGTCTTCTTCAGGCATTCTCCAAGCTACTGTTACAGAGTTGTCAGCCACCAAACACTCTATTGGATCTATCTCTGGAGCTTTGGGGACTGCAGAGAAGGAAAGAAAGGAGGTATCAATCCTCACAGATAGCATTAATCAGATACTTGTGCCAGGCCTTCAACCTGTGCGATATCATTTTGCTTTTAAACTAGTCAGAAATGAGTCAAGGTAGGAGAAAGGTGCCTTATAAATTCAAAATAATTCTATTAAGATGGTTCTCTTTTATTGTTAAGACTATAAAAATCCACATTCAAAGCTTTCTCATAAACACTCAAAATTTACTAAAATCTTAAATGGAAAAAAGTAAATTATTTAACATGCTAAAGAGAAATAATCAAGAATGGCTTGAAACTTCTAAACACTATGCTTTAAATATATTATTTCAAACAGTTATAGGATACAAATTAAATCATATTGTCAAGCTTTGAATATAATTATTGAATTAATGCAACATTCTGTTTCACTATATTTTTAAAGTCTTGTTTATATGGAATGGAGAGGGGGAGAATGGGCCAAAAAATGCAGCTAAATAGCAGGACTAAACCCTGATGCTCTCCAGCAGAGGAGAGTGACTGCGGGGAATGATCCATCATGTTTCAAAACAGAAGCTTTTCTCTGTGAGTTTTTTTGTTTTTTTAAAGAAAGTGTCTCCCAGCTGGCCTGGAACTCACTATGTAGACCAAGCTAGCCTCACTGTACAAAGATCTGCCTGCCTCTGCTTCCCTAGTGCTAGGATTAAAGGTGTGTATACCATCAAGCCCTGGTTCAAAATAGAAGTTTTTAACTGCTCCCACACAAATGATGTTTAAGATGGTGATCTTACAAATCTGACTGAGACTTTCACTTGGTCATGAATTAAAGTCACACTATAACCCATAAATACATGTAACTGTTATAGGTCCCTCAAATTAAAAAAAAATTTTTATTTTACTTATTTTATTTTATGTGTATGCATGTATTGCCTGCATGTAGGTAAGTGCACCCATGCCATGCAATGCCCAAAGAGGACAGAAGAGGCTGTTGGATCCCCTGGAACTGGTGTTAGGACAGTTGTTAGATGCCATGTGGGTGCTGGGATTTGAACCTGGGTCTTCTGCAAGAACAACCAGTGTTCTTAACTGCTGAGCCATCTCTCCGGCCCCATTAAATTTTATTATTTTTATTTTATGTGTATGCTTGTATTGCCAGCATGTAGGTAAGTGCACCCATGTCGTGCAATGCCCACAGAGGTCAGAAGAGACTGTTGGATCCCCTGGGACTGAAATTTACAGACAGTTGTTAGCTGCCATGTGGGTGCTGGGATTTGAACCTGGATCTTCTGTAAGAACAACCAGTGTTCTTAACTGCTGAGCCATCTCTCCAGCCCCAGTCCCTCAAATTTTTAGAAAAATATTTTATTATTTTTATTTTATGTGCATGTATATAAGTGCATTGGTGTCATGAAATGCCCACGGAGGTCAGAAGAGGATGTCGGATTCCCCTGGAACTGGAGTTAGAGATGGTTGTTAGCCTCCATGTGAGTAGTGGGACTCAAACCCGGATCCTCTGCAAAAGCAGCCAGTGCTCTTAACCACTGAGCCATCTCTCCAGCCCCAGGGTCCCTCAAATTAAAAAAAAAAATTAAAATCTACTATAGTATACAAATTATAATTTCTCATTACTAAGCTCTCAAGAGTTTTATGATTCATTAACATGTATGAATATTAATAAAATTCTTTTCCATGAAAGGGATTCACAGCTTTTCAGCTTTGACTAAGTGATACAGATGTGTCTGAACTGTCTGAAAATATGCATGCCAACAGGTATCATATATAATTATGTCAGTGAATATCAGATTATGTCAGTTAAAAAAAGAACTTAAAAGGATTTATTCCTGGTGAAACTGATGAATATAATTAGTAACATTAATGGAAAAATATGATCATAACAGTAAATGAAGAAAAAATAACATCCAGCAATCATTCACGATAAGCATTCAGCAAACTATGAACAACAGGAAGCTTCTTAAAGAAGACTATTTTCAGAGCTGAGCTGGGCCGATGTTGCCAACTTATAACATGAGCACTTGGGAGGCTGAGGCTGAAGGATTGAGAGTTTGAGGCTAACCTAGATGGTAATAGTAAGACTTTGTCAAAAATAAACAAACAAAAATTTAATTAAAAAAACAACAACAAAAGAACATCTTTTAAAAAGCCAAGTTAACATTTTACTTAATGGTTGAGACACAAAATACCTTCCCCTGTAACTGCAAACAAGGTGAACATGTTCCCTTCTCAGTATCCTACTCAACATTTTACTGGAAGTCTTAGCTGAATGAAGTAAGACAAGAAAAGAAAGCAAAACACACAAACTGAAGAAAAACAAATCTGTTTGAAGATGAAGTAATTAAATATAGAAGATTCCAAGGGGAAGCAAAAGTAAACTAAACAAATACTGAAGTGTCTGGAAACACCACAGGCTGCAAGGGAAAAATGAGGAAGCGGAGCACAGGGATCTGAAGGGCAGCGAACTTACTCTGCATGTCAATATAACAGTAGAAGCAATTAAACATCTCAAAGCCCTGAAAGTCATGTAGTACTAACAGCAAATCCAAATGCAAACTATGGATTTTGTTAAGAATAATGTGTCACTATTAGTCCATCAGTCATAATCTCTTGCAGTAATAGGAGAAACTGGAGGAAGAAGTGGGCTTCTAAATGGTAACTACTGCTTGCTTAATTTTCTACAAACATAAAACTATTATAAAAATAAAGTATTAATTTAAAATTTTACAACAGGACTGGAAAGATAGCTCAGTCAGTAAAGTGCTTGCAGCAAAAGCATGAGGGCCTGCATTCAATGCCCAGAACCCATGTACAAATGCCAGGCGTTGTAGTTCTTATTGGGGGACGGAGATGAGTGGATCCTGGGGGCTCAACGGCCAGCCACCCCAGTCTAATCAGTGAGTTCCAGGTCAGTGAGAGACCCTATCTTAAGAAGCAAGGTGTCAATGCCTGAGAAATACCTAAAGTTGGCTTACATTTAGCATACACCTCACACATCATGCACCTGTACACATACAAACACGCATACATA